GTTTTGTTAATAAATGTGAAGTTTTAATACCCTACTCTCAGCTGAAGTACTCTGTGTAACATTGAGGAGTCATTTTTCACAGAGAGATGATAGGAGTCATGTTTTGTTAATAAATGTGAAGTTTTAATACCCTACTCTCAGCTGAAGTACTCTGTGTAACATTGAGGAGTCATTTTTCAGAGAGAGATGATAAGAGTCGTGTTTTGTTAATAAATGTGAAGTTTTAATACCCTACTCTCAGCTGAAGTACTCTGTGTAACATTGAGGAGTCATTTTTCAGAGAGAGATGATAAGAGTCGTGTTTTGTTAATAAATGTGAAGTTTTAATACCTTACTCTCAGCTGAAGTACTCTGTGTGTCCCTAAATGATAGCTTAAAACTGATTTGGAGGCGAATTTATGAGAGATGTATAAACATCAATTCATCCTACTGTTCCATACATTAAATAGTACAACAAGGTTAAGTGTCAATAATTGATTAATGGAGCAATATGTGATTATATAAGAATATTTGAAAATAGCTTGCAGGTATGTTTTGACGTGAGTTTCAACTGTTTGCAGAACTGAAAGGTTAGGATTTGAATGTCATATTATTATGGTCTGTTCATCAGTACGTTACACGGACATAACCTTTCAACTTTTCTTGTATAAGAAAACTAAAAACTTCAATGACTTTTCACCATGGTAACAGTAAACTGTTAATAGAAATACAGATTAGAGCTATAAACCTTCTTCTATTTATGAGGTGGTATAAAAATTAGCAAATGGCCTCAGTTATTCCAGTGGTTGAAGTGTAAAAATAAATGGACAATTGTAAGTAAAGTAAGAAAGTTGATTGAGACTTTCGTGTTCTTCCTCATTATACTATTTAATTACTTATGTATAGAAATATTAAAATTCATAATATTTAGGAACAGGTGATTTATTTAGTGTATCAAAAAAGAATATAAAGTTAAGTTGCACTAGTTACTAATAGTTTTAATTTTTAGAGGTAATTAAACTCTTCAGTTGCTACTTTCAGAGTTACAAACATTATTTATGTCATATTCGTGCTCAGTATCAAGTTTTTTTTCACAGAACATTTTCTCATTTGTGTCGTTATTCTTGTCTAAAACATAACATTACTTATAAACTGGAATTTTGACAGCTGTAATTAACTACAGAAAATATGTATGTGTGTATGAACTGAGTTACAGAAGCTTTTAGTGTTATTGGATCTTTAAACTTCACAAAAATGTAGATAATAAAAACTCTAATCAGTAGAAGGAGGATTGAACTCTAGATTATTTAACTCTCTCCATATGTGCTTGGTCAATTTGACCGACCACGTGACCTCTTAGTACTCATTTAAAGTCTTTATAGATTTAATACTTCTACTTTTCAAAAATAGTGTGTATATCTTCAGAAAATTTGGCAGTCTTTCACACATATAAAAAAATCATATTTTTAGAGAAGTATTTTTAATAAACTAAAATAAAGATTTGTCCTTGAATATATTGAAATATTTGTTTTGAGTAATCTGTGTGCAAAGTGATTTTTGTGTTAAGATTAAAAATACTTTTCTTCATCTCAAAAATCCCAAATTTCATTTACATAATCTCTAAAAACCTCTTAAATGTTTGTTTTCAGTAAAACTTTATATTTTATCAGTTATTTTCTCTACCCTAACTCTATACAAGGTTGGTCAATTTGGCTGACCTCATAAAAAAATTGGAATAAATCTAAATTACCTCCTTTTCTTTCTAGAATGACTTCAAATTTAGCGTGAAACAACATTCGTTTATCCTAAGTAGCTTTAAACTCGTAATGGTATACATCTATTTATAATTAAATTTTATTGTATTATTGCTCTTTGAACCATGTGTAACTACTATTTGCACCATTATAAGTTATAAATCACTTTGGGAACGTGCATCCCATGTTACGCTATCAAATTACATTACTCCGAACTGCTCACGTGCGTGCCTAGTGAAAATTTGTTACTATATTTTAGTTATTTATTTTACCTAATCTAACCTAAAGAGATCCCTATTTTTACATATTAGTTACTTTTATAATAGTAAATAAAGAATAAACATAAAAAAACAAGAATTATAGTACTCATCTGACTATTGATGACAGTTAACCCTATTTTTAAATAATGCACCAAAGAACATTGACTAATAACATGCAAAAAACAGACAATTTCCTCTAACAAACACAATTTTTCTGGCTTTCTAACGACAAGAGCCGTTACAAATGTATCCAAGCTAGCCGTTGTGATTCCTGTGGGAACCAAAGTTGAATTAGAAGTGAAATTGACTATTCTTTGTTCAGAACACAACATTATACAATATGTCATTCGATAGATGAAAACCTTAACTTTCCATTGGTTATAGCTAAATTATATAATTAAATATAAAAATGAACTATTAACAAATCCTGAAAGAGAGAATGTGACAGGTAGGTGTGGCAGGAGGAGTCAGATTTTCTATTTGATAGTTCTGTAACCAAACAAAATTGAAGTCGAAAAAATTATGGTTTGACTGAGCAATGATGATTTTATATTGAGTAATTTACATTTTATTTTGTAGTTTCTTGGGGGGGGGGGGGAGAGATAAAATAGAGATGAGAAGATACATAGAGAAAATGTGTCACGTGAATCACATTAGGGTAAATTCAGGATTTTTTTAAATATTGCCTTATAGAACTAAGAACTTAAACTTATATACTATTAAAATATGGATTATTAACTAAGATTTTATGCTATACCAATTGCTATTACATAAACAAAAAATTAGATAAAATTTTGAATGTAAAACCTTGTGTCATGTGCAGTAAAGGATACCGGTGGTGAGAGAGTTAAACCATTGGCATTTTCAAAGGGCTTTGAACTAATTGGAATATTATCTAAAATTGTAGCATTTAAATGCATGTTATAAAATATCACTAAAAGTGCCAGAAATGTTCACACCCTTATTCTCATTTTCATAAGCATTAATATTTGATTTATATTATATTATGGTTAGTGCATGAGGGAAATTATCACATTATCTCTGAGCTCGATGGTATACGTTTAACAAAAAAAATGAGATCCTAATTTTTTTACTTCCCAGGTTGTTAATAAGTAGTGCTGATGATGCAGTGTATCAGTGTTCTGATCATCAATCTTGTCTACCTCCTGATGTCAAGCTTCAGGAGACACTTCTTCCACTAGCATCTCTTCAAGGAGAACTGAACAGGTAAGTTGATTTTTGTTTTCATATCTGTACATAATTTCCAACTGTTCTGTACAAAATCTAAACTCGTGACATGAATGTCAGTGTTAATGTAGTCTGTTGGTAACCAGCTTTTGCCTGTAGTTGATTCAAAGTTGAATTAAACATATACACACATGACATTTGAAACAAGAATCAACATATCGTGTTTGTTGTAGCAACGTTATAGTTATAATGTCATCTCATTAGTTCTGAAAGCATAGAAAGAAAGATATGTTTATGATAAATTAAAAAGTGCAGGAGTAAAAAACTGTTGGTTTATTTATGTGTCTGTCGGACATGGTTGTATTTATAAGACTTTGTGTGTTGTCAGACATGGTTGCATTTATAAGACTGTTGTCAGACATGATTGCATTTATAAGACTGTGTGTTGTCAGACATGATTGTATTTATAAGACTGTGTATGTTGTCAGACATGGTTGCATTTATAAGACTGTGTGTGTTGTCATACATGGTTGCATTTATAAGACTGTTGTCTGACATGGTTGTATTTATAAGACTGTGTTGTCAGACATGATTGTATTTATAAAACTGTGTTGTCAGACATGATTGTATTTATAAGACTGTGTTGTCAGACATGATTGTATTTATAAGACTGTGTATTGTCAGACATGATTGTATTTATAAGACTGTGTTTTGTCAGACATGATTGTATTTATAAGACTGTGTGTTGTCAGAAATGGTTGTATTTATAAGACTGTGTTGTCTGACATGATTATTTATAAGACTGTGTTGTCAGACATGATTGTATTTATAAGACTGTGTGTTGTCAGACATGATTGTATTTATAAGACTGTGTGTGTTGTCGGACATGATTGTATTTATAAGACTGTGTTGTCTGACATGATTGTATTTATAAGACTGTGTGTTGTCAGACATGATTGTATTTATAAGACTGTGTGTTGTCAGACATGATTGTATTTATAAGACTGTGTTGTCAGACATGATTGTATTTATAAGACTATGTGTTGTCAGACATGATTGTATGTATAAGACTGTGTATTGCAGACATGATTGTATTCATAAGACTGTTTACAGGGTTTTGTCTTTTGTGGTAAATGACTGGCATGTTTTAAGTGTGAAATTTATAAGAAGTTTTATAACAGATCACATGTGGTTAGTGTATTCATAAGGTTCCATTTATAAGTGTCATAAGTTATTTCTCAGTGACGGGGTGTTTGAATTCTTGTTTTTATCCATCTAATGCTGATGCTATAAGTTATCTTAGTTGTGTAATGTATCAGTTTATACAGATTAGGTTTATGAAATGTTCCCCAAACAATACAGGTTTGTAATAGTCATCTTTTGAGATAAATTCACTAGCTCGTATTATCAATAATTATCAAGCCTTTTTATATGTAATTTTATATAATAATTGAAATTCCAAATAATAAGTATTCTCTTTTTTTATCCACTTAGACCAACCCGTGTAGCACGTAATATCTTCAACAGTAACCCTGTCACTCGACGAGCTGCTACACTCAGTCACCTCGATAGTCAATTAGCAGCAGCTCTATCCATGCACTCTGCCAAAGACTACAAATTCTGGTTTCTCACGCTTGTTCGATACCTGACCCAAGAAGGTGAGCCTTGATAACATATTTTGGGACCTATTGGTCCATCTCGGCTGTCCCATTCTCTCAACTAAACTAAAACTGTAAAGTGATTGATGATTTTTTTCAAAATCTTAAAGCCACCCCTTATCATTCATATACTTATCAAGCTTTCTCTTAAACTCACTTATATTTACTGCCTCCACAACATCTAAAGGTAACTCATTCCAAAAGTCAACCACCCTGTTAGAAAAATACAACTGCCTTAACTGAAGATGACTCCTACCTTGCCAAAATGTATACTTCTGTTCCCTAGTCCTACTATTCTCACTGTTAAGTTCGAAAAAAGATGATGCTTCAACACTATCAATTCCCTTTACAATCTTAAACATATCAGTTAGATCCCCCTAACTCTTCTTTTTTCAAGAGAAAACAGTTTGAGAGATCTCAACCTCTCCTCGTATGACAACCCCTCCATCTCCGGCACCATTCTAGTAGCCCTCCTCTGAACCTATTACAACAATTCAATGTCCTTCCTAAGGTA